CTTGGCAACAACGACCTCCCATATTCCTACGATATTTCGTATTATGTCGTGCTTGCGCTCTATGTGTTTACTGACCCTATTAGTACGTGGCTCATTCTAGTTCTACTGCTCCACTGTTGTCACAGAGAACCGTAATCACAACAGGCAAATTCGGTTCCACGTTAAGGTCTAATAAGAAGTTTGTGAGACAACCTCTTCTTTCGTTGCACTACATCGACACTATATTTATGTGATTCCTCTAGTGAGTGTTGTTGGGAACACATCTGACACTATAAATACTTATCTTTAATTCTTAAAAAAGTTTAATTCATATATTTATTTCTTGAATCTAGTCAATAAACATATCTATCGAATTTGGCTGCATCATATGTCAGTCGCCAGAAGTTGAATGTGTATCATATCGATTAGCCAAAAAACCCTCAAAATTTGTTTATTTAATTATCAAAGTAAAATGGTGTGGAATAAATTGCATAAAAAGGCTAGTTAGGAAATTTCGGGGGCTAATGTACATAACTGACCTAGCCAAAAAAATATATTCCATAAAACTGCTAGCCTACAATGATTTCCATAAATGCTTGTTTTTCAAACTTTTGAAAGACAATCAAAATAAATCTGTTCATCATTATCTGTTTTCATTCTCTTTCTTCTTCTACTCCCCTTCCATTATCTTTTTTTCTTTCTCTTTCTCCTCTCTCTATCTTCTCTCTCTTCTCTTTTCCCCATTCTTTTTCTTTTTTTCTGCTTCTTATTTCTTCTTCTTCTTCATACCTAAAAGGAAAAAAATAATCAATTGATTAAAAACAACACAAATGATTGTTATTGTGACTTACAAAATTAATAATACATAGTATAAAAAAGATACATGACCACAAAACGTCTTTCAAGCGACATAAAAACAACTATTAGTGACCACAAACAACAATAAAACATCTCTCAAGCAACATAAAAACAACTATCAATAAACAATAAAATATCCACCATCAGCAGTTGTTTATTGTTGTTTGTGGATATTTTATAAAGTCCAGAACATGTCCAAATTAATCTAGATATTGTTAATTGATGTCAAAAATTAGGACAATCGAGAATAAAATAGACTCCTCTGCAAAATAGAATTACCGGTTGTGGCCGTCCAGTTCCCGCTTGCAGCAAAACCCGTCAATTTGAATCCGTTTGTCGAAAATCAAATCTCATTTCAGAGGTTCCAATGCAATTTCCTCTGTCAAATTTTGCCCACTCTTGCTGCCGCACCCCGTCGTATATACGTGTAAGTGTGTGAGAGTATGTATATGGGAGTATGTGCGTGCGTGTATACGAGAGAAAAAAAATTTGAAGAAGGAAAAAGAAGTATATTAAAAAAAAGAAGAAGAAGCAGCATGTTTATATGTGTATATGAGGGAAGAAAAAATCTGAGAAGAAAAAGAACGGAAGTAGGAAAACTATGAAATAAAAAAAAAAGAACAAACTCTGAAATAAGGAAAAGAAAAGAAAAAGATTGGAAAAAGAAAGAGGGAACAAACGTGTAAAAAAAGGGACAAATAAAACATAGAGAAATGCTACCATCCCGTTACGGTACCATCCCGTCGGGTGTTTTAACCGTTGGATCATCGATCTTATCTAACTACACGTAGATCTAACGGTTGAAACAACCGACAGGATGGTACCGTAACGAAACCGTAGCATCTCCCTAAAACATATAAACAAAGAAAATAAGGAGAGAGAAATAAAATAGATAGATACAAACGGTTAACTCATGAAATTAAGACTTTTTAAATATCCATTATTATAGTAATAAAATGGAGTAATTACGGAAACACTCATCACCTGTTGAACAACATAATTAATATTTTAAAAAGGGTATACAGTGTCTTTACATAAATGAGATAGCTTATTTGTGTTTCCTTTATTACGCCTTATTCTTTATGAGTGGATTTTTTTGTTTTTATTTTTATCTCACTCACTTTCTCTCTCACACACCTATACAAAATCATATTCTCTCTCCCACGGTTTCCATCCTTCTTCCCCTTTTCCTTTTTCGTTTTTCTTCACTGTCCTTCTCCTTCACTTTTCATATCAAACGCCGACTCGAGCCGTCGTAGCCGAGTAGCAAATTCAATGAGGTCTGCCGCGACCGGAGAGCGAGCGCCAGTCGCCGGTAATTTTTCCTCCACATTTAATTTAGATTTAATTTAATTTGTAGTGCAAGGATTTATTTATCAAACTGAGACATCGATTACGGACGCTTTCTTTTATTACTTTGCTTCTTCAGTTTACGGTTTTTAATTTCATCCTCAACCTCTAATTTACAATTTCTGAATTTCTTGCATTAGTGATAAAAGAATGAATATATGGTTGGTTGGATGGATTGGTCTGTTGAAATAGAAGATTAGGGTTCTTAAAATAGAAAAAAAGAATCACAAATTCTTGTGTTCTTTGTTCATTTTTTTAGGATTTTTGTCATTATAATTTTCACTGCATATTTTTTTAAAGTAATAATTGGGATTTCTTCCATTGCAATTTCATCGTTTTCTTTTTAAGTTATATTTACACCAATAAGATATGTTGCATCAATAATAATATTCAAACACAAGTTTTTAAGTTACACTTTCTGTGTTGTTTTTTAGGTTATTTTTATGTTGTTTTTACGTTGATTGATATGTGTTATAGTGTTTTTTTTTTGTTATTGCACAATAACTCTTATTTTTTCAAATGTTTTTATTCTTAGGCATGAGTGGAGATGCAGAAGAAAAATGTATGGAGGAGAAGAAAAAAAAAAGGAAGAAGCAAAATGTCATGGAGAAACATACTGAAGAGAGAGAACGAAGATGGAGAGAAAAAAGGAGAGAGAAGGAATAGATAAAGATCATTTAATTAGTTAGTTTTTATTAATTATCTTGTCCTATTTAATTTGTAACTGTTCGAGACGGTTTTTGAAATAATTCTAGCACTTTTGGAATTCACATTACTCTGGTCAAAAAGTGGAATTATTTTTTATACGGTGGCTACTTGTGTATTTTCGCCGACAAATTATCCATCCCTGAAAACATTAAAATGGCCCTTATTAAACTAATTACACATCTTAACAACAATTGGGCCTATAAGAAAATGGGCTCAAGGTTGCTTTTATGTTGGTTTACATGCCCATGGAATAGCCCAAGTACGACGTCGTGCTTGACACGAAGTTGCAATGCCATGCGAATTGCGATTACTCGGAGGCATATATTTCATGTTTTTCCTATACAGCAAGAGGTAGATCATAGGTGCAACGAGCGTGAAGCTTCCCTATAAGAAACTGCAAAAAAATCTATATCTATATAATGGACCAATCTTTATTCTATAATTGACATAATTTTGGGCGGGAAAATTTTTTCGTCTATATTTGACATTTATTAATATTTATTTTTTAACAAATCTTATGTATGAAAAACATAATTAATTTCTATACACTCAATGACTATTACTCATTAACTACAAATTGGTTTAACCGTAGATTTATTAGATATATTTTCAATAAGATCTATATTAATTTAATAGTTAATTATTGACACAATTCATAAGATTAATATGGAAATCGATTTGATTAAATATATTATCATCTATGGTTGTTGGTATTAATTTAATTAATTATATTCACTATTCAAAAGTACTTAAAATGTAGTCAATTTAACTATGTTTAAATCATAATAATTTATTAAATAATTTAAAATATTAATAAAATTTTCTAAAATGTAGTCAATTTAACTATAAAAAAGTATATCCCATTGAATATATCATATGCGGTGATAATACTATTGAAATTTAAATAATATACTAATAAAAATAAAATTAGATGGTCGGATGCAATTCAGAACTATAAATTCACTGAAAGTATCTATGTACATTAAAAGACTATTCAGTTTTAAAAATATATATATTTTTCTTATATAATATTTTATTAATGAAAAATAAGTTAACAAAAAAAATGCAATGTAAAATAATTTAAATTATAACACATGATAACTATGGAAATATATAAAATATTTATATATTCGAATAGATAATATGTAACTAATTATATAGGTTGAGAAAATGAATTAAATAAATAAATATAAATAAAAACAAAAACATAAAAATAAAATATTTAACCATAAAAAATTTTGTGTTGCATAAGGATTAAATTTACTAAAATTAAAATTTATTTATCAAAGTTTGTAACATTTAATGCACTTAATAATTATAGCGCAAGATAAATATCATGAGTTAAACGTAGGTCAATTATCAATCAATGTGCAACTCATGAATTGTTAAAAAAAATACAATTATGATAAACGACAATTTTATAAGTACATACAAGTAATTTGTATACAAATATCATATGATCTTATATATTTATAATATTTTCAAAATCTTATAAATAATAAAATTTATATATTAAATAGTCAAAAACTATAAAAAAATGAATGTATAAAAAATAGAAATTAGCAATGATAGTAAATAAATAAATGTCCTATTATTACTAAATATAATATTGTGAAGAATATAATTTCATGTTGTCTTAAATAATTTTATAATATTTAAATAAAAAATATTTCTTGTCTTGCACCCCGTGCATGTATCAACACTAGTTGGAAATTAAAACATTATATTTTGATTCAAAACCCAGTAATTTTGCTCAACCACCTCAAAAATGGCTTCCTCCACAACCCAGAGCCTGACAGAAGTGGTGAAGCTCGATACAGAGGAAGATGTCGCCGTGGCCCTAGCTGAGTACACCGCCGATCTTTCTAAAATGTTCATCGAAGAAAAGGGCTCGTTCTCCGTCGTCC